TTATCCTTTTTTGGTAGTTAATTGTCGGTGAAATGTACTGTCGGTGAAATGATTGTCGATGAAATAATACGGACCCGAAAATTTTAGGGCAACGTCTACGTTTAGAATTAAATATGCAAACTCGATACGTCGGTCTCGATGATTCAATTTCCTAAGAAAGCCAAACCCTTTTCTCAATTTTGATATTTAAAATCTCTCGATAAGTCGGTCGGTCCACCATATATGACCGACTTATCGAGTTTGCATTAGCGAAAGATTTTATCATGTGACTTGCCAACCCTGCAGCCTTAAAACGAAAAGCGTAACGAATTATTGATGCAAATTTCTCTCACTTTCATCTACGCCGCAATACTGCAATATGTCCTTCAGAAACTTTTTTTTCCTCGACGATAAACGGGAATAACAAACACCGCGAGTAATGTACTGTGTCTCTTTCTAGTACACCAATACAAGCAATATTACATTTCAATACTGGTGATGTTCGGCGCAGCAACCGAATATGTCGTAAACCCTAAACCCGAACGTGTTGAAGCAAAAATCGAAGAGGTTGAAAAAGACGCCAAAATTATTGGTTTCTGGGATTGATTTTATTAATTATCTCATTACATCTTATCTCAACTTCATCGATTTTGACTACTTAAAAATTATTGCGGTGGGATAAGTTGTATGCGCAAATATAGATGGATCTTCAGTATTGTTTTCGCTTCTTAGCAGACAATAAAAAGGGATGACAGACAAAACTTGGCGCATGTCCCTACTCGAACTAGTTTCCAATAATTTAAAAATAGTAACGCCTTTTTGCTAACCCTAGACTTTCCGATTCATAAGGTTCATTCTCGAGTCGATGCATGTGATATTGTTGAAAAAGCTCCCTTTACTTTGTTAAGTGACCGTATTAAAATTGCCTAATATAAACGACAACATATGAAATAATCACATCATTAAGCTGTCGTGCCTTCCCCAATTTTAAGGTTGGGTAAAGCCACATGGTATATAAATTCGGTCAAACAAAGGAATGCGATAAATTGGTCACACATCTCCTAGCATTCCAATGTTCCTGCCGTCTTGACAACTAATCCGCTCATACTACTTCATTGGCCGAGAATGTTCAAGTGGAATCTTCTTGTGCTGAGATCTACAAATCAAAAGCGGGATTTACTTGGAAGATTGTTTAGTATTAATGTTGATTCGAATACATATATATTTCGACACTTGAACTATCGGCAATCGCTCCCACAAATACGCTGTATCTCGACATCAAGCAATAAGTCTTACCGACACGGCAAAATTTCCCATATTGGAATAAAGAGTATTATTGGTACTGGATTAATATTCAGTGGATACTTGTTGATACAAAAGTCGTCTCTTCCCATAACATACTCTCAGTCATCATCGCTGATGGATGAACTAGCATCAGCTGACGACCGAATATCGGTACAAGATAAGAAAGTGTCTGAACTGGTTCGATCTCTCCTCGTCTACAAACTATGTTCGCTTCAATCACTCGTCAATTTTGCACCCAATCTAATTGAACTTGCGAAGCGATTGCACCTGTCATGGTTTGCATATTGGACGATTAAAAAGACGTTCTTTGCTCAGTTTTGTGGGTAAGTTTGAGTTATGCGATATTCGATGTAGTAATAAATACAAATATTCATATGATGTATTTCATCAAGTGGCCAGACAGCAGAAGAATGCATTGAAACTATGAGCCAATTGAAGAGCCAGGGAATAGGATGCATTCTTGATTATTCGATAGAAGCAGATGTTGGAAGCAGTAAAGATTCAAGTGATCCCGAGAGTGACGAGTTTCGCAGACCCTTCAACGAAAAAGCCGACTACGTCACAGATATGATGTTAAAATGTATTGACACTGCAGCTACTCATCCCAACAGTTTTATAGCTCTCAAATTAACTGGAATGACCAATCCTCTTATGTTACAACGACTTTCGACTATACTTGTGACATTGTATAACCAATTCAGAAGATATGACAAGGACGGTATAATCAGCAGATCGGACTTGTTAAATATCATCAAAGAGGTTTCGGGGATTAGTGACAAGGCTGCCGAAAAGTTACTTGATGAATTTAACATACCCAACGCCCAGAAGATCGATATGGCTCAATTTCAGGACATCTTTTCGATCGATAGTCCAAAGATGCGACACTTTTTTTCTTCTCTTTCAAACTCTCGGCTAACCTCATCCGATATCACTGATTACGATAAACTCATCGTACGCCTCGACCGTTTGTTTACCAGCGCTCGTAAGAATAATGTCAGGGTCATGGTCGACGCTGAACAGATTCGCTTTCAACCTGCTATTGATAGTATTGCTATGCGTCTATCCTGCGAATATAACAAACCGCACAGCAGTCCGTATGGTCCGATCGTATTCAACACCTATCAAATGTACCTCAAGGATGCCCGCGAACGATTAGAGTTGCATTACAAGATCTCGCAAAGACGAGGATTCGCGTTTGCCGGAAAATTGGTCAGAGGCGCGTATATGACGAGCGAGCGCGAGCGAGCCAAAGAATTGGGGTATGACGATCCCATACAAGATACACTAGAAAGTACACATGATGCCTACGATAGGGCTGTGGAGTTTTTAATCAGGAAGCAAAGCGAGGTACAGGGGACAATGGGAACAAAATTAGATTTACGGAATTCGGCTCTAGTGTTTATGATCGCCTCCCATAATGTTGACTCGATGATAAAAGCATGTAAACTGATGGATGAGTTGAACGTCTCTTCTGATTCGGGAGTGATCTTATTTGGCCAATTGTTTGGTAAGTTATACAAGAGTCAGAGCTGGAATTTAGAGGTGTAAGAATTGGTACTCATATATAATCTTACGTTGCATTATTCAAAGGGATGCGCGATCACGTATCGTTTACACTGAATCGTCATGGATATGAAGTGTATAAATATATCCCATATGGCAAGGTAAAAAGACTGATGATATTTTGCAAGTGTTTTACGTATGTGACAGACCAATAATCCCTACATGTCTATACATATAAAAGCTTGAAGAAGTCATACCATATCTTATTCGAAGGGCTCAGGAGAATTCATCGGTGCTGAACGCTACAGACAATGAGCAGAGCATCCTCTGGAACGAGCTCGTAAGCCGTTTATAATATGCATATACGGACGCTGTTGGATATTATCCTCCTGAGTGAAACGGAAGAAATTGCAAAAATACGTTACAAGATTTATTATTAATTTGAATTCCAGTAATATATTAGTTTAATAGGATCAAGTGCGATAGAGCTAATTGTAGTGGTAATAATTCAAGAATAAGAAGCCAATAGATTTCCTCTCTTTTCCATTATTTGTAGAAATTCCGTCATCATAGTCGATTCAGGCCCCTTTTATTAAATACTTGGACAATTTCTGATATGGAATTTATAGATTGGTCAATTTTTTATAAACCAATGGTCCATATATGTATGGACAGCTGGCAAAGCCTGCTTCTCTCAGATAGCAGAATGCGGGGGATTCTAGAGAGAAGCGGGCAAGGTTTGGAACATCAGTTGGCCTAAACCCAATGTAAAGACAATTAATCCGAGTTACGTAGAAATGCCCTTAAATTTTCGACAGCAATAAAATTTTAACGCGGGTGTTCACAGTTTAGCTTTGATATCGTGCGAGTCATGATTGTTGGATTTTCCATTTTCCACTTTAACTTTATCCAAAAACTCGCCCAGCAACTCGTTTACTTTGTTTGCACGTTCAAGCATTACCCAATGTCCTGATCCCTCGATATACTGAAATATATACATGTTGAGAATGATTAGAGTATTCCAGGCTAGAAAGTATTGCATAGAGTCTAGTATAAAAACTTACTTTCATAGTTAAGCTAGTAAAATATTTTGGCATTTCCTTGAACAAGTCTGGAATGACATTAGGGTCGTTCATGGCAACAATCTTTATAAAGTAATTCTTTATGAATCATCATAACGTTCTCTTAATAGAAAGCAAGCTATAGCAACATTGTGGAAGACCTTACCATTAGACACGGTATAGTTATGTGTTTTCGTGCACCTATTTGTTAAAAGTTCAATTAGCTTCTGTAGGCTGTGTGCATCATTTCATCATTGTTGTGAATCTAATTGTACCTTTCTCATCTTGAAAATTAACCCTCCTAACCTTGTACCAATTCAAAGGTCCATGGAAGCCACTCTTTTTATATTGAGAGATTATATAGTTTAATTCCTGTTTACTGATAAGGGGACTATCCTCTATCAGTGCTTCTCCTATAGGTCCCAGCAACGACTTTCCATCATATAATTTGATGAGATCTTTATGTGTACGATATACGGCTTTGAAGATTAGCTCTACCTGTAAATTTAGAGTGTTGTCAATCGAATAATCTTTCACAAGTTGCAATTTTCTTGGGAGGGAAAAAACTCGCATGTTACATTCGAATCCAGTTCTATTTCAGCTTTGGGCTGAGCAAAGTAGACATGATACGCCAGACTAGGGACAAGTTCTGCAATTGCTTCGGGTGACAAGAATATCTCTTGTGGCGGCGTGTATGGACAGCAAATACTAGAAAAAATGCAAATAAATATAAAACCAAATGAATATAAAGCCAACTGATATATAATGCCCAGAATTAAATTGTTAAAACAAAACACATTTTTTGATCCAAAGTCCAATGCATACTTGCCCAATGACGGAAATAACTCTATCTGGATGAAAGACAGCCATTCTCCATGCGATATGACCACCCCAATCGTGTCCTATAAATATAGCTTTTTGCACTTTGATCTGATTTAATAATTCAATGAGATCCTTGCATACATTCTTCGCTCCATATTCGCGTATATCATTCGGCGGACAATAGGGCGCTTCCTACAAGATCGAATGAGATACATTTTTATAACAGCAGACTGTCGGGCAGTTGAAACCGGACGTCTCGTTTTCGACTTGGGTTCGCTGAAAAAGCAATTTGTACTCACAGTTTCCCCATAACCTCTTAGATCAGGAACAATGACGCGATATCCCTTGTCAACCAAGAAGGGTATCTGATATCTCCATCCATACCATAAATCAGGGAATCCGTGACAGAGAACCAGGGTTGGTGCTAGCTCAGGTCCCTCATCAACATAATCTAATTACCGGGTGGATACCAGGCAGATATAACTTTTGGTTTTGTACAAGACGATTTATCATTTGCGTTCAAGTATACGTACGATAAATAATTCCATTAACAAAAGAATATTTATGCTTAAAAGAGTTAGGTAAAAGCGGGTCGAGCCTTCGTTTAGATGCCATTATGAAAGTGGCAAGAACAAGTTGTGAAAAATGCAAAAATGCAGATATTTATCATCGATCTCGATTACAATTTTGTATTACTGATAAAAAACTTGAATTTACACACGCCAATCATGCATGACCTTAAGGTCCAATATGGAAAGTGGAAGGTCAGAAATAACGTTTTTTTTTTTACGAGAGGACAGTTGAAACCATTGGATGATCCCCGAGCACCTCATGATAGCAATAGTGACAGCAAACACGTATATTACCAAAAATAGGAGGGACTATTAAAATTGAAAATCGAGATGATCTTCACCTTCATATGCGAGTGGCAAATTATAAATATCAGGTCACATGGGGTGTAGAATGCATCTGAATGAGCCAAATAAGGAAGTTTAGTTGAACGGGGGACTCGGTTAAACTGAATGGACATTCATTTAAAAGAATCTCGTGACATTGATGCTCCAAATAGTTTTAATTTAATACGTTGTGTAAGTGAGACATTGTTGCAATCAATGCTAGCGAGCGCAAACATGTTTTAACTTGTTTGAATGCCCGTCTAAACCGTAGAACAATCGTTTAATTGGACTGTGCGATTATTATTATGTATGTTTATATTTATATGCACAGTCAAAGTGGCAGCGCCACATATATTCAAATTCCCATACTTATTGATCGGTTCTGACAAATTAATCTGCCTTATCTATTTCCCTTGATTCACAATAACAAAGAGCAAAACAATTAATTGCATGCAAGATACTAAATTAGTAATGATATTTATTCAATACAAATCTTTTTTTCTCACTTGGTTCAACGTGGGAAAACTAAACGGTCGGATTGGCTTTACAGTGTTCAATCAGCAAAATGCTCGTTTCATCAAGTGTCGTTGCTCGTGAGCTCTTAATGCGCAAAAACAAAACTGAGCGAGTCGACCCTTCACCTTGAATTTAACTATACAATATTTACAGTATACAAATAATCATCGAAATTTGGTAACACCCGACGGGCATTCCCTGTCTTTTGTTTATAATACTAATGATCGATAGCAAATGTTATCGCTATTATTATTAAGACATCCACAGAGATAAACAGCTCTCACAAATTATTATCTCTCTTATTATGGTATACGATTGCCACGTTGAGAAAGATGTCTCACAATCAGACTCATTGTCATTTAATATACCTATTAAAGTAACTTCTTGATTCTAACCTTCCTATTGCTTTGGCTTTAATTACTTCACGGATTGAGTATAATATCCAAAGGGAGAAATTACAAAAAACAAGCATTTTCATAAATTATTCTTTGTGGTAATAATTAGCAAAAATTATGTATTCATGTAAAGACGTCTTAGATTAAATTAATAAGAAAACCTTTACTGTCAAAATTATTAGCCTTATTTGTATTAGATATCGAATAGCGTGTTTGGTATACGTTGAAAAGGGAGTGCGTTCATTGACAGTTAACCAGGGTGATGCTAGAGCCATTGATATTATTCAATTGAGGTTAATTACGACAATCATCGTGTTTTTAAGACTTGCCAATTTTTGTAGAAGGAATCCATGAATTTGGAATGGCATCAGTGTTAATAATAAAGTAGTAAATATATTTCTGAAATAGTATGGCACTCTCACAGTAATAGTATTGTCTTGTAGTTAGCCAATGCTCCCAAGCTAAACTAATTTGTTTGACTATGACGATATTAACTAAACACAAAGCTCAGCTGTCCATCAGATTCATGCGTTCACGTGTTGACAAACATGTTTTAAAGTTAAACTATTTCCAAAACTTGAAAGTAATTTATTAGTATTAGGATTAAACCCATATGTGATCATGTGAGAATCAGATATCAAGAATGGTCCTATTGAGACAAAGCCTGTTACTGATTCTGTCCCCAAAAATATTGTGTAAGAGGGCAGCTAAGGTAAAGTATTGGAAAAAACGAACAGTAGCAGGCATCAGATAAAGTAAACTCCTGCATGGAAAGTTTCGCTTTGATATCCTGGTTCTAGTAGTTACATAAATATCATTATATCTGACTTTCATTGTATCCGTCGTAATCTCCTCGCAGCATCCTGAATAGAGTATTCAGAATGTGTTCACCGCCCTCGCGAAGACCACTGATTAAAAAAAAAAAAAGATGTATTAGAATTGGTCGCTATAAGTAAATCAAATAATGAAATCACTTACTTGTGCTGATACTCGTTTGTGATCCAGTGCCTGAATCCTTTAATCTTGGAAACTGTTTCCTCACTCAATTTAAGGTCAACGTACCTACAATATAATAGTAAGAGTTTATTGTCATATAATCAAAGATTGCATAGACAGATATCAGCGAGATCCATTGATCTGCTACTTACATATCTTCGTAATAAGACACTCCTGCAACCGGTACGTTATTTTTACCCAACTGCTCAACATCATACAACGGACCCCAGTCCTCGTACTGAGCCAGTAACTGAGCAACTTCCTTCAATGGCCTCAATTCAGCATAATCATCAAACATCCAACTATAAATCATCTCCCCTGTAAACAAGACGGGCTTGCCCTCATTTGTTTCCAACCATTCCAAAGAAAAATAAAAATCCTTTGTCATATTTCTCTCTGCTGACCAGTTTGACTTTTCTCCCTGACAATAAATAGCCTCGTGCAGTATTGCGTATAAAATATTAGAATCGAACGGCTGTCTATTAGATATTTTTTCCAGACAACGATAACTCAATCCTCCCATAGCTTCGATGTCGTTGGCAGTAAGAATTACAATTTGATGTATAGCATCGAACCCGCCATGCTCACCGAATGCAATGCCAAGTTGCCGAAAACGTCTAGGGGTAAGAAAGCCGCCGTCAGGAAGGATGATGGTGTTGGTGGATAAATATCGGAGAATGGTGCGGACACGCTGGATGTCTTTCGGGTACTTTAGGTAATAGATAGAGTTTCGTTTTATGAGCTGGCAGTAGAGAGACCTGTATACGGGATCTGGATTGGAAGCCAGCGGTGGTACGCCACCTGTTATGAAAACTGGTAAAATACGGTTTGGAGAAATATCGAATATACGTTTGTGATAAGTACTTTAGAAGAGGAAAAAAGCACCGGGCCAAATATCCACAAGTACTAATAAAATTTGTTGTCATCGTTGAGACTGTATTTACCTTCCTGAATACTATTCGGACTTTAAGTCAAAGAAACAAACATTTTGATGATGAGGTACGTCATGCTCTAAACCCATCCAAACCTTAGTACTAATATCTTGCACCTCCAAAATCACTCCCATGTCATCCTCTCAACCTTCATCTTCAATTGCATCTCTGAACCATACTTACAATAAGGACAGATAATTAATACAACAAAAGCCACCAAAGCTCTGCCCTAATAAACTCCATTTCCTCCCTCCACACAGCTCTCTTCTTATAAGCTCAGCATCCTTCACTATAGAATCCGCCCTGAAATATTTCAAATAATCCGCCTTCGCTTCTGCCGTTTCAAAATTTCCAAGTGAAGCGGCCGATATCGGTGTCGATAATCCAGTCCCACGTTGATCGAGCAGCAGCCATTGATAACCTTTTGCGGATGCGGCTCTATATGCACCAGAGTAACTTGGGAGAGAGCATTCGAAACCGGGACCACCCTAAAGGAATAGAGTGAAATAAAATATTAAAACCCAAAAAAAAAGAGGTGCAGTTAAGAGCTGCAGGTAATGATAATCAGATTGGATACATGCTTGGAGATATAATAAAAATGGTAATTGCTTGGCGCTATGGGCTTTGTCTAGCGGGACAACTTGGCGTGCGAATAAGCGAATTTTAACTCCCGATGGATTATCGTGGTCTATTGATGCAAAGAAAGGGAAGCTTTAGTGAGATGATGTCGATATTCAAGAGTTTACATAGCCGATAGATACCTAGTGGAACTGTAAAGAAATGTTCAAATATCTTAAATCCAGGAATAAGATAGGTTTCTACATCAACATCAAGACCCATAATCGATAAATTGGTTCTTTCCATAAACCAACCGGCTTTAGTTGTCTAAGATAGTATTTGACTGCACGGTACATTAGGGGCATTCTGTAAAGGAAACATGCGCCACCTGCGGATAGAGCGTCGACGCCACCTCGTATTGCTTTATTTGGAGGTTCCCCAAGTTGTCAAGTCTCCTTACAAATTCCAAGCGGAATTAATAGTGATAATGTCCATATACCGTAGACCATATAGATTCGAAGGAAAGGCGGTATAGCTGTCATTCAAGTGTATAGAAGTAATTAAGTTAATCCAATTCTACACCAGATACAGTGGTGTGCAAAAAAAATGAACTTTCTTAAAATCACGTTAGTCTCACAAGTATTGCATCGATTAAAGTGCGT